TATGTATTTATTCATGTATTAATTTTTTTATTATTTAAGGTAATGAAACAAAATCTAATACTGGATTAATCGAAGCTTCAACACCAACAGTTGATGACATTTCTGTTCTTTCAAATGAAACGCTTCTTACAAAATCTCCAACTGCTAATTCAATATTTGAAACAATAATAGGTTTATATAACACATACAATAATATATATTATTTTTCTCAAACATTTTTAAAATAATATTAATACATATTTTAGAAACACCAAAACGCAAACGAAGATTGTGTTATATAGGAGATGTAAAAACACCAGATTTTGATACGCCAAAAAGAGCTAAAGTGCATTTTAAAAGAGCTAAATACCAAGTTATGATTCAAAAACAAAAAATTAAACGTTTAAATGAAACTGTTAGAAGGCTTCGCAAAAAAATTGTTTCTATAGAATCTCTTTTAAATCATTTAAAAAAACAAAATTATATTACTGAAAATGCACATGATGAAATATWGGTAAGCTATCAAACTCAATGTTTTTTTTAATCTGTGGATTGGTTTGCAGATATCATCCATTCTTCTCTATTATTATTCGTCTTCTAACTATATTATTTCCATAAACCTTGTGCTAGGGTTGACTTAGTATAARGTCTATGATTATTCCATAATAAATTTCCTTATGTAATTCTTTCCAATACTTCTACATTGGTTACYCTGTCCACACYATTATTCTTAATCTTATAATTTAATCTGTTTGTGCATTTTTATGTTAAATTATAAACACTTTATATTAATCTTTGTGGAATATTKGTATACATTTAATTAAACAACTTAATCTGTTTGTGTTGTAATTATTGTGCATTTCTATATTAAATTATAAACATTTTATGTTAATCTTTGTGGAATATTGGTATACATTTAATTAAACAATTTAATCTGTTTGTGTTGTAATTATTGTGCATTTCTATATTAAATTATAAACATTTTATGTTAATCTTTGTGTAACTTTTATATGCAGTATTATGGGCTCGTATGTGGGCTAATTATATAATTAAATAATGTAATGAAATTACTTTCTAGTTCAAATAACTTATAAGAAATTAAAATTTTTTAATGCATTAAAATTTTTACAGAGAACTACTTCAGAATCTATAAAAGAAACTATAAATTAAAGCCTTAAATTGAAAAATGCTAAATTTTCTCCAGCAATAAGGTCTTTTGCTCTTACGTTACAATTTTATTCTAGCAAAGCGTATACATTTGTTCGAAAACATTTTAATAATTTACTCCCCCATCCTTCAACTTTAAAAAAGTGGTATTGTGTAATTAAAGGTGAACCAGGATTCACCGAAGAATCATTTGCAGCCCTTAAAACAAGACAAAATCAGTCATCTGACCCGGTCATCATAAATATTTCTATAGATGAAATGGCTATAAGGAAGCAAATTTCTTTTTTAAATGGAAGGTTTTATGGTGGTGTTGATTTAGGTACAGGAAATGAAAACGATAGTGATTGTATTCAGGAAGCTACGAATGCATTGGTATTTTTAGCAGTTTGTATTAATGGCCACTGGAAAATTCCATTGGGGTACTTTTTAATTCACAGTTTTTCTGGTTCTGAACRTGCCAGTTTACTGATAAATGTTTGGAACTGTTAGTAGAAACAGGAGTTAAGTGTTATTCTATAACATTTGATGGTGCTGCTTCGAATATTTCAATGTGTAAATCTTTAGGTGCAAATTTTGAATATACATCTGCAAATTTTAAACCTTGGATTGAATATCCTGGCAGTCAAAATAAAATTTTTATATTTTGGGATGCTTGTCACATGATTAAATTAGTACGGAATACACTAGGCGACAAAAAGATATTAATTAATAAATATAATGAACCAATAAAATGGAGTTGTATTGMAGATCTACATAGAATTCAGGAAAGTAAAGGTTTACATGCAGCAAACAAATTGAAAAAACCACACATTCAATATTATGAAAATAAAATGAATGTCCGTCTGTGTGTGCAAACRTTGAGTGCAAGTGTTAGTTCAAGTTTATTATTTTGTGAGCAATTAAATTTAATAAATGAAGTTAAGGCTACAGCAGAATTTTGTCAAATATTTAATGATGCATTTGACTTACTTAATTGTCGTAATAAATATGYTAAAGKTGAATATAATTGTCCAATTAATGATGACAATATTGAAAAAATTGAAAAMTTCTTAGAAACATTCAAGACTTATGTAGAAGGGTTACGTTATGGACCAACAAATAATGATGCTAATGGAGRGCAACTTATTAAAAGTAAACGACAAGTAGGTTTTATTGGTTTAATCATRTGTTTGACAAATTTAATTAATACATACAAGGTAGTTAAAGAAGAAAAAATGACCTATTTATTAAGTTATAAACTTAGTCAAAACCACTTGGAAATCTTTTTTAGTGCAATGAGAAATCGTGGTGGTTTTAATAATAATCCCAATGCAATTCAATTTAGATCTGCCTACAAAAGACTTATTGTTAGACATGAAGTAAATGGTTCAATCTATGGAAATTGTACTCAGTTGGACAGTTCTAGTATATTATTTGTTAGTGCAAAGAAACGGCAAGATGCTGATGCTATTATGAACAATGTTAATGATATAGATAATGAATCTGATTTATTTGAAGAATTTGAACATGATTATGATTATAGAATGCCAGAATTAGAGGAGTATGTTACAGACGTGGTGAAATATACTAGTGGGTTTATTGTACGGAAATTAAGAAGAATAAAAAATTGTGTAWTGTATGTGATTCAATGTTAACAGTAGAAAATAATGAAAATGCATCAAGATTACWTAAGTTAAAAACTAGAGGGAAATTGATTACTCCAACAACTGATGTACATAAGATATGTTTAACTACAGAATATATAATAAGAATGAATTTAAATATATTACTAACACATAAAAATATTAAACAAATATTAATTGTAAAAACAATGAATGAAATATGTCATGATTCTACAATATTCAACTCGCAGTTAATGAAAACCCATATTTTAAATCAAGATCCTCTGGACAATCACCGCAGTCAATTATTAAATATAATAATGAATATAAATAATATTACACTTAGAATGCACCATTATGCAAAGATGCATACATTATCAATTACGGGCAAAAATGTCAGAAGAAATTTGACAAAATTAATTTTGTTTAAAAATCAATAGGTTAAATAATGTAAATAAATACATTTTATATTGTAAATTAAAAAATTTGATTGAAAAAATTACTGATTACACAAATGTAAAAATAACTGAACTATCGATTTCATATGGTAACACAAGTACATTTACTGGGCACACAGACATTATTGAAATTAAAGCATTTATTGGTTTATTGTATTTATGTGGTATCTTCAAATCGGGCATGAAAGATGTAGAAGGACTTTTTGCTACTGACGGTACTGGTAGAGACATATTTTGCGCGACAATGAGTTTGAAACGGTTTTTATTTTTGCTTTCAACTATTCGTTTTGACAATATATATGATATAGATGATAGAAAAGAATTGGGTGATCGTGTAGCTCCAATATCAGAGTTGTTTCAAATGTTTTTGGTAAATAGTCAATCAAATTATTCAATGTCTGAATATTCTACAGTTGATGAAATGCTGGTTCCTTTTAGAGGGCGGTGCTCTTTTCGCATGTATATGAAAAGCAAACCAAATAAATACGGACTCAAAGTTATGTGTTTATGTGACGCAAAAAACCACTATTTTTATAATGCATTTATTTATTGTGGAAAAAATAATGTTCCAAATCCTAAAAAGTTTGCAATACCTACATTAAATGTGTTAGAACTTGTAACACCTATTCAAATAGAAATATAACTGGTTTTCTTCCATAGAACTAATAACTGAATTAAAACGACATGGCCTAACATACGTGGGAACCAGTGTTGCCGATTATGTGGTAATTACCCCAAATGGTGGTAATTTGAATCACTTGTAATCTAATAAGTGGTAGTGAATAAAATTTGGTATTTTTGTGGTATTCTACTGTTTATGTTTTGTGGTAATTTTCACTATTTGTGTTATCACTTATCAGTCAGACTGTTATTATTTAATGTTAAATCCTATAAACAGTATAAACAATTGAAAATTCTAATATTTATTTTATACTATGGTTAAACCATAGCGATAATGAATTATGTTGGTTACGACCTGATTAGTCATTAGTTATGTTAGTATTTACTATTTACTTTTGAATGGTTTTAATGTTTTATAGTAAACAGCCGGGCGGTGAACGTAGTCGTAGTGAGTAGTATTCTTGTGCTTTTAAATTTTTATTCTATATGCCATTATGGATAAGTGGCTTAAAGGAAATATAGTTACTAGTCTCACCGATGAAGAAGACGATCCAGTACCAACTCCCACTGCCAGTAATGTTATAATGTAAAGTGTTGAACAAAGAACTCAAAATAAAAAACCTAAAAAAACTGCAAGAAAATTTTGTACTAAATGGCTTGAAAGGGAAGAATTTTTGAAATGGCTCTTACAAAAAATAGATACTAATGGAAAACATTACGCATATTGTAAAGTTTGTAACTCATCAATGAGTTCACATCTTACAGAAATAAAGCGACATAATTCATCGCCTAAGCATACAAAAAATTTTAGACAAGTTGATCACCAAAAAAGCGTAAGTGAAGTTTTTAAGATCTCATCATTAACAGAACAAACAAGGATCGCTGAAACTAAAATTACTGCATTCCTTGCTGAAAAAAATTTACCACTATCTTTAATAGACAAACTTATTCCGTTGTGCAAATCTGTATTCCACGATTCCAAAATAGTAAAAAATATGTCTTTAGCGAGGACAAAAACAACAGCAGTTATGCAAAATGTATTGGGTAAAAATATCATCAATGACCTGTGTAATACTCTTACAATGCCTGGTACATTCTACTCCTTAATTATGGACGAAACAACTGATATATCAGAAATCAAACAATGTGCGATCATTATAGTATATTTTGATACCCAAACAATGATGGTGAAAACTGAATTCTTAGACATGGTACAAACATCTTCAGGTAATTATTTATATAACATGTAATAAGTGAAGTCTTGTTTAATGTTAACTGTTTTTTTTTATGAATATAGGTACTGCTGATCATCTTACAGAATTGTTGCTGCAATGCCTTGACGATAAAGAAATACCAAAAAAAATGTTTATCTGATTTTCTTCTGATACAACAAACTCAATGGCTGGGTCACTTCATTCTGTGTTTACAAACCTAAAAACTGCAATACCAGGTATGGCATGCATAAAATGTTCCTGTCACATGATACATTTATCTTCCTCAAAAGCTTGTTTAAAGCTTCCACGGTCAATCGAAGACTTATTACGTAATATTGGATCACATTTCAGTAGAAGTTATTCGCGTCAAATTAAGTTTAGAGAGTTTCAAGAATTTTTTCACATTGAAATTCATAAAATATTATCGCCATGCACAACTCGTTGGTTGTCACTAAAAGCATTTGTGGATAGAATATTAGAACAATTTCCAGCTCTAAAAGAATATTTTAGACTTTCAAGTTTTGAGGACCCTTCTAAAACACTAGAACAAATCCATAATACTATAGAAAATTATTTTACCATTATATACTTAGAATTTATGTCTTACTCGCTAGGTCTCTTAACAAATTTTAATAAATTATTTCAAAGTGAAGGCCCTCTACTATATATGTTAAAACCAGAAATTGAAAAACTGTTAAAAATAGTGGTAATGAATTACCATAATAGTTTCACCTCAGAACATTCAATATCATGTTCCATTAAGTGATATTTATATTGGTGTAAACGCTACAATCAGCATCACAAATTTAAAAAGCAACAGTTCTGTTGATTCTAATGAAGTAATTAAATTTTTTAAATCTTGCCAAGAATTTTATATTGATCTTGTTTTAGACATAAAGAAAAGATTTGTATTCGATGACCCTGTTTTCAAATGTATAGCTGTTACTGACCCAGCATTAATTAAACAATTTAGTGTAAAATCGTTAAACCATGTAATTGAACGATTTCCAGTTTTAAATTCGTTAATAAGTAGTCCTCAAGAACTTTGTGATGATATGCTCGTTTTCACATATCATAATTATAAATTCGTTATTTTCATGCAATATATTAAATAACGGTAAAGTTGTCGCACGCATGTAGTATACTCTAAAAAACCCCAACAAATCAAGTCACTGATGATTGGAACGATTCCCATTGTCTAGTCACGTACAGGACACTGTACGGGATTATAACGGTACGGTGCAACACATGTAATTTCTTTCATGTGCCGCCGGAGATAAGGGATGGTTAGGTTAGGGTCTCTGTCGCCAAAGAATAAGACAATTTTCTTTGGAGACACCGACACCTTTGATCGGGCCGCCGGTGGCTCTGGCGGGCTTGACCAAAATCGTCTCCTCTCATCAGAGCACGAGCACCACTTGAACAGAACAGTGCAGGAGCACATCACAGATAACCAACACACACTCTCAAGATCCTGCGAGCGACAACTGTGCAGTTTCCTTTTAAAAAAAAAATACGAAATTAATCAGTGTTCCGTTATTTCCTTTTGAGTGTTTATAATAATTATTTCCGTCCTTATTACGTCGACTGCGTTTTCAGACAGCTACGGATAAGGTAAGGTGCATGCGCATCCATATTCATATAGTTACAGTTACATACAGGTATCACATTTTATTTATTAAATTATTATAATTTAATAAATTGATAACCAATAATTTAATCATCAGTATAATTGATCGTTCTCGAATCACGACCTCGAGAGCCCTCCGACGATCAGGAGGAAGGTAATTACRCAAATTTAAAACAAYAAGACATATGTTAAGATAACTAAAAATAATTAATAACTTGTAAATATATTTAAGGCATTCATTCAAGGCTCGTGTCCCTTGTGTTTGCCTTACAATTTATTCAGACCAATTCATCTTCCATAAATAAATAATAAATAATTACATTACTATATTAAATAATATTATATTGATATCATTATTATTAATTTTATTTCTAATATCTTACTCTAATTAATATAACTATTGGCAGGAGCCTTAGTTATATTTATCAGCTGTATTATATTACCTATTATTATTAATTTTATTTTCAATATCTCCCCACTTTTTCCTTTTTTTCTTTTCTTTTATTTTTGCGTTATTACAACTTGATATGGAATGGAGAGAATTAGCACTCATGGATATTGAACCCATTAATAATAATAGTTCAAATGATATTATGATGTATTGGAGAAAAGTATTTTTATTAAAAAATTCTATAGGCGATATTTATTTTCCCAATATTTGTATCACAATGAGACTATTATTAATCCTACCCGTTTCGAATGCTTCAGTTGAGCGGTTATTTAGTGACTTAAAAAATATAAAGACTCTACATCGAAGTAAATTACAAACCCAATCGATAATCGGAATCCTTCGAACTAAAAACTCCATTAATGATTGTGTATCCTTTTAACCAACCGATGCAATGATTAAAAGTAAAATTTGGGACATGCCATAATTTTATGTTTTTAAATAATTAATAAGACTGTTTGCAATTTTAAGTTCCTAAAGATATTAAAATAAAATGTTAAATATATTATAAGTATGACTAGTATGAATTAAAGTTAAAATGTTTTTGTTTTGTTTATACATTTATATTGTTTAATGTTTTGGTCTTTTTTTATATAATACTGATTTATAATTTTATAATTTTAATTGATAAACAAAAGTCTGTTAGCACTTTGTAGTTTGTACTAAGTATATTTAAGTATTTATAAGATTTATAATAAATATGAACAATAATTTATAAAAAAAAAATAATTACATTGAAAGATATTGATTTTGTTTATATATTTTGTTTTGTTTTTTTAAGTTTAAAAATGAAAATTGTTATATATGTTGCCGATTATGTGGCATATAATTTTATAAATTTAATTKATCATCAAAAGTCTGTTTTTAGTTTGCACTAAGTATATTTGATTATTTATAAGATCTATAATGAATATGAATAATAACTTATAAAAAAAAAATAATTATGTTGAAAGATATTGGTTTTGTTTTTTTAAGTTTAAAAATATTTAAGAATGAAAATTGTTATAATGCAAAATATATTTAATTTTAATGTTTTTATTGTTTTTAATATTGATTTGTAATTTTATTATTTTGATTAATCAACAAAAGACTGTTTCATGTTTGTGTAATTTTAATACTTTCAATAGGTAATTAACAAAATACTTTATGGTTTATATTTGAATGTTAACTTAAAATTTCAAAAAAATATAAAATGTGGTAATTGTGGTGGTAATTCAATTTTTAAATGTGGTATAGGGGGTATTTTTGATAACATGGTATGGTAATTTGACGTTTTGGAATCGGCAACACTGGTCGCTACTCAATACTCGTTAGTGTTAGTGTATTGTGCATTAGCGTTGTTGGCTTTGGCTTATTGCGATTATTTTTGTAAGGATATWATATTTTATAATTTTGTTATTAAATTAAAATAGATTTAATAAATTATTTACTTATACAGTTGTTAATGTAAGTAAATAATTTGTGTACAATGAAGAGGACTAGAGCATTGAAATTAGTGAACTCTGTTCAAAATCCTTCATATTCTTGTCCTACAGTTAGAGAAAGTGTAAGTAATTTATATCATATATTCATATTATAATATAATAATGCATTTTGTGGTAGATAATATCTAACAAATTATTAATTTTTAAATGTAATAAAATATTATTCATTATTAAAATTTAAGCTGAGTTAGATATTGCTATGGACTAGCGTCCCGCATTACATAGTTCACGGTCAACTAGGTACCAGCCGCATCAATCTAGGGAAGGGTGCGACGATCCTTGTMAAWRTAGGAGRGACAGCATTTCTGGAAATCATTAAAATTAGGGACATACTAAATCATGGGAGCAGACAACTATAAAAATGTCCTCAATAAGGGTGCACAAGACGTAGTTTTATGCATCATTACAAAAGTTCAAA